AAGGGTTCCCTAGCCAGGTAACTTCAGGAGATCTTTTTGGTGTGCCCACAGGCCACATGGTCATCTTTCTCTGATCTTACCTTATTTTTATAGTGGGACACAAACTTGGACCTTCCTCTTTAGTGAAAACAGCCAAAATGGGAGCCCAGGGCCTGTGCACTTACCACTGTGCTACCAGGGCTTGGGGCCGGTTTTCCAGCTTAGGTCCTGCCTTTCCTGCTGTGTGTTACTCCCAGGTTCGCAGTATAGCACAGTGCTTGAGCATGGACTCTGGAACCAGACTGCCTGCATTCAAATCTCTATTCCACCAAGAACAGTAGTTGTTGTGGGTATTAAAACCCCTAGTAAATACCACTTAAATGTTTGCTTAATACATAGGTAAATGTTAGTGGGCTTCTAAAAAGTCCAGCCATGCTCAGCACTTAAAAGAAAGCAGATACTATCTTTGGGCCCTGCCAAAGGGACCATGTGGAGCTTTATGAAACAGAGATGTTTATGGAGATGAAATTTTCCCTTCTTACATGAAAGATTTGGGCCAGATGGGTGATACACTTTAACTAAAATGTCACTTGTTAGTGTCAACCTTCCGATGGGTGTTCTTAAGCAAAATCCGAGTGCTTATAAGACGTAAATACCTGGATATCCTTGAACAATTACGTAGAGTTTTAGTATGGGTGAAAATTCCAAGGGTTGGCTTAGAATAATCAGGTGAGGAATGGTCAAGTAATCAGATTGTTTGTCTTGATTCTGTAAAGCAAGGGGCTGAACTCGATGACTGTAAATGCACATGACTTTTATAATCATTAAACGTCATGGTTTAGTCAGCTTGCTAAGACCTGGAATGTACATGCTAATGTGCCTAGATTAAAAATGGAATGATGTAGCCGATGAAAATGCTCTGGTGTCATTGGCCACCTCACACAAGCAACTGTGAGGTTGTAGAGACCTTTGGTTCTGGCTTGTGTCCTTTCATCCTCCAACCATCATAACCTCTTATCCCTCATGTTGAATAAATCAATGACAGTTGGTGTCACACTGCACTGCAGAGGTTATTTTTCAGATGGGAGAATTAAAAGCTACCCAGTGGGACTGAAGAGGGAAAACTAAGGCTGAGGTGGGAGGATTGCTTGAGCCCAGGAGTTCGAGGCCAGCCTGGGCAAGATAGCGAGAGCCTGTCTGTAAAAACAAATAAATAAATGTGGGAATTAAGACAAGTAATGTTACCACTTGTAGGCAAGTGACATACCACAGGATTTTTTTTTTTTTTT